CGGTCTGACACTTAGGTCGGACGGCGAAAAGAGCAACTCCACACGTGAGGCTTATCAGGAGTCTCGCGAGCCATCGTAAAGGGAACGGAGGGACGCAGGAAAGGGAAGACGGGAGGCGGGAGGGATCACAAGTGCCCAGGAGCAGAAATACATATGCAAATGGCGCACCTCTGCCATAAAATGCCCATCACATTGGGCAGGGCATAGGACGGGATAGCGTGGGAAGACGGCTAGAATGACCCGGTGCCGCTGGGCGGCCGTGCTGCAGGGAAGCTGTGTATTAGGTCGGCGACTGACTTCGTAACCTTGGACCGACCGAAAATTTGAGATCTCGGCGAAGCTCTATGGTGCGACATGCCAGCCACAACGCGCGGAGCAGGGCCACTGAATCCGAATGACCCTGCAGTCTAAATTGGTCAGGCAGCAAGCAAGCAGGCGCGTTGTAATGGTTGCGCAGGAAGAGGAAGGGGGAGGAAGAAAGGCGGCCTGAGGAGGAGGAGGGGGAGGAGGAGGAGGAGGAGGAGGAGGAGGAGGAGGAGGAGGACGCGCACATCTCTAGGCAGCGAGGCTACAGCTCGGCCGTCTGCGGATGCGGTCTGACAGCGATCGTTTAATGAACCGTGAGTTTCTTGAGCAGCGAGACGAGTGCGTTGGCGATGGTAAGGTAGAAACATTCGACGTTTGTCTTCGCGGCGATGGTCTGATTGTCCGAGGAGAGCTCGGGTGTTCCAGAAAGCAACATTGAGGCCCTCCTGAGAGGGTTGCAGGAGCCACGGGCTCCAGCGATGGCTAACGCCACTGCGCTGCCGTGAGGGCGCCCGCGAAGTTGGAGGCGAACTCTGCGTTGATCTGCTGCTGTTTGGCTTCGGTGAAGCCGCGGTCCACGGCGGCGTTGGACCGTTGAAGCCTGGTGGGCGCATCAGCATGGTCGCCGATGAGCAAGCGAACCAGAACGTCCCCACGATTAGCGATGTACCCAAGAGTCCTGTGCGCGTGGAGGCCGATGTCGGGCATGGTGTTCTGCATGGTTTTGGCAAGGCGTTTGGCTTGAACCTCTATGCGAACGGCTGTCGGGCGTTTGTCTGCTGGTACACATAGAGGAACATGGACGCCATTGCCCAGAGCGATCGCAAGACTGCGCCAGTCTTTTCCGTTGCGGAGGGCACTGTGGAGATGCTGAGCACGCGGTTCTGCTACAACGGTGCCGCCGCTGACCTGGAGCGAGTGACGCTTGGCGGGGCCGACGGTGTTGAAGATGACCATGTCTTTGGTGACCTCGGCTTTGGCGAACCAGTCTGCGAGGGCGCGCTCGAGCTCGGGCTGGTTGAACTCCTGTGGGCTGCTGCACCAGAACGTTGTCGGATCGGGGTCTCTGTCCCGCGTGCCGAGGCCGTCGAGGTTGAGCGCGGGTGCCCGTGCTTCTGCGGCTGTGACGATGGCTTCAAGCTTGGCGACGGCGGTCTTGAGTTCGACATTCTGCTTCTCGAGGTCGTTGGTGTGCAGCGTGACGCTGTGAATGATGCGTTCGGTGGCTTCGTGACGTTGGCTGAGCTCGGACGTGATCTTCGTGGTGGAGGCGAGGCAGTCTTGGCTGGCTTGTGCTGTGGCGGGACGTGCAGTGGCTTCGGACTCGGCGCTGGCGTCGGCGATTTGGGCGGCCATGGTCTCCCCCGACTGCTTTCGAACGTGAGCGGGTACGTATGCACTGCGAGCTTCGCTGCGCCATCATGCCAGGGAGCTTGTTGACGTTTGCTACAATCGTGGTCCTGCCCGTTGGGAAGGAGAGCGACTGGTCCTGCTGCTGGTGGAGGAGCGTGCTTTCCCATGGAGAGACACAGGGGCCCGCGCCAGCCTCACCATATCGCGCGTGAAGGCTGCTGCAGGCGAACGCAGAGCCGAATCTGATGCTCAACCAGCAGGGCAACTGGAAGGCGTAGCGTGGGAAATGGGTCCTTAGCTTTCCGTGGACCAAGGGTCTCCGTGCTCTGCCACGGGGCGAAATCATCTTGAGCCAAAATGGCTACGGAGGAGGTCGGAGGAGGAGGAGGAGGAGGAGGTGGAGAAACTCTCGACAGGTATGCGGAGGTCCCCGTAGGCCTACTGGAGGACCCCAAGGGGCCCCACGCATCAATCCTAGATCCCCGAACCTCCTTGCGGAAAAAGAGGACGAGGCGAACATAACATGCAACAAGGACGAGGAAAACCTCCTCCCCGTTCTGTTTCCAGGGATGTCGACATGGGGGAACGGGGGAGGTATGGTGGAATAGGCTATACGTAAAAACACTGGGCGACAGCACTGCGCAAAACGCATTCAGGCGAAATTAGAACTACGTACAACCGCTAAGTGAAACCACGGCGTACAACACACACAATGCATTCAATCACTACGTGAAGCGTCACGTGAAAGCACAACGTAAAACCATCATGGAAAACACGGGACAGGGGCGTAGTGATTCCACGTAGCGTTTGACGGCGACAGCGACGGCGAGGATGCGTGTTACGCCGGCGATGACGACGAAAACAACTCCGCGCGCAGACACCGCGCGGTATCGCAACGCGCACACACCACGAACAGCACGCTACTCAAAATCACTACGCGAACTACGACGTTGTGTTTGAGCGTCGTGTTGCCGCGTGGTGTTTTCGGCGCAGTGTCGTACCCGCTCCCCGCGCATCAGGCGCAGCGCAATGCTTTTGCGTAGGTGTTCTCGCCCCGTGATTCCCCGCTGTTTTTGTAGCGACGTCGGGGATCCAGGCTCGGGTGTGACAAGTCACTCTCTGGCCCTGTCCCTGGGCGAGAGCAATCCGAATGTCGATGGAGACCCAGCCGTGGCGACGAAGGGCGGACAGAGTCTGATAAATCGCGATCCTCGAGCCGAGACCCTCGACCGACGTCGAGGGGCGCCCCAGGAGCGCCCCAGCAACCAGCGCCGGAGGAGCGGCCGCTCCAGTGTTTTTTTGCACTCGTCTGTCTTGCTGCTTTACTTGATGTATGCTTTGCCTTGTGTGTGTGTGTGTGTCCCTCCGCGGCCCCTCCCTGTCATCCAGGTCGGTCTTGATCTTTTTGTCGCTCTACTATGTTGACTCGCTCTCCCCGCCTTCCAATCCTGGTTCGCTTATGGCACCTTCCACCTCGCCTCAATCTCGTCCTTCCACCGACCACCCCGCCTTCCATTCCTGGATAATTATGTCTGTCGGCGGCTGCGGGACCCTAGGTGGTCTCTGAGGGCTCGGGCGAACTTAGACGCGCGCGCGGTTGCTGCTTTCCGACCTTCTACGCCCTGTCGCTGGGCGCAAGGCCGCGTCGCCAGTAAGCGTGTGTTTGTGTGTGTGTGTGTGTGTGTGTGTGTGTGTGTGTGTGTGCGTGCGTGCGTGCGTGCGTGCGTGCGTGCGTGCGTGTGTGTGAGAGAGAGAGTGTGTGTGTGTGTGTGTGAATGTGTGTGTGTGTGTGTGTGTGTATGTGTGTGCGTGTGCGTGCGTGCGTGCGTGCGTGCGTGCGCGCGCGAGTGTGTGTTTGTGTGTGTGTGTGTGTGTATCAAAACGATCCTGTCTGAGGGCCCTGCCGCGCGCGCGCCCGCCTCTGCTGCTTCTGACTTGCTCCGCCTCGTCGCCGCGCCCGGGGCCGCGACCGCACAAGAGTATGTGTGTGTATGTGTGTATCACTCTCCCTCCGGGACTTCGCCCCCGTCTCCTGTCCATGGCGTACCTTGTCCTGTGCAAGATCTTCGGCACCGCCTGTACGCTGCACCCTCCGGCCGCCTGAGGCCCCGCCCGCCCGCGCCCTGTCTCCCCAATTAGGGCTACCCGCGTCCCGTTTAGCTCTTGACCGGAAGGGGCCCGCTCCTGACCCGCAGACCAAAAAGTATGTGTACAATTGTGGTTTGAAACGAATTGGTTACGTGGTGTTATACTCCTTAATACGAATATGTTTTCACCATCGGGCAAGCCCGTGGGGGGAGGAGGGGCGGGCTCGCCGGGTAATGCCAAGTGGGGGTCACCACTGGAGGGGGCCGCCATCTCGTCGAGGAGGACGACCCCCAACACCCCCCCAACCCCCCATAACCTTCCCAAGGCCCTCGAATGCGTCGGCCCTGTCGGCGTGGGTGCGGGGGGGGGTCCCTGGGGTAGCTGTCCACCAGGGGTGGTCATGGGAGACGCTTTCCCCTGCGTCCCTGCGGCCACCAGGGGCTTGCTAAGCTTGCCAGCCCGAGGTGAATCGAACCAGGTCGTAATCGAGTCGAAGGAAGCGCCTTCCCTTTGATCCCTTCCCCGCCATAGGTGTGTGTCCGAGGGGGGAGGGTCCCAGGGGGGAAGATCCTGGGGGGCCCCCTCCGACCCCGCCTCCCTGGAATGACTCGGGAGGTCCTTGGGCCAGGGCCACGTTGGCCGTGTTTGACCACCGAAGCCTGACATAGCCTTTTCGGGGCGAACCTATAGGGACTCTTGGGCGTCTCGCGGGCTGTCTACATTTTTGCCGCATGGCTTGCAAGATCGTCCAAGACGGCTCAGGACACCCGTAATATCTGCCCACAGTGGCCCTAGGAGGTACCACCAGGGGCCCAAGAGGCCCCCAAAACGGCCCCCCAAAAACGCAACCGTCGCACCACTGGAAGCCAACCCGTCCAGCATGATCCTATGACGTCCAAGAGGCCCACAGGAGACCCCAAGAAGCCCACAAAGGCATGTACGTGGGCCACAAAAGCTCCCAAAACCGCCCAATACCGCCCCCAACATCCCCCAAAACACCCCACTGCTTCCAGGACGCGACCCAGGTGCACTGCCGGGATGGCCCAAAAATGCTTATTTCTTCGCCCCCGCATTCATGCCGCCACCGCCCCTGGCCCCCATCCCCCGTCGCTCTTCCGCGTCTCGCGCATCTGTTCACTTCTCAGGGTCGGCACACATTGCCTAAGGATTCAACGTCGTTCAACGTATCCTTTGCACTTGATCCTTGAAGCTCGATTCTTCGGCCTGAGCCCGATGGGAGCCTCCCGACACTCCTGCCAGGGCGACGCAGGGGCTGCGCGAAGGCCTGCCACGCCTGCCACTCCTGGAGGAGGCTGCGGCGAGACGACTTTGGTGCACGCCGGGGGAGGACAGGAAAGAGGAGACGGAGGCGGCGGGGGCAAAGCGAAAAGGAGAGGTGATGCAAGAGATGGGACATGAGGATGGTAATGATGGTGGTGATGGTGGTGATACGCGTCACGGCGGGGAGTGGGCTCCAGAACCAGCCCATGTGCGCGCGGCGCGCAGCAGGACCCTTAGAGCGGTGCAGGCGATGTGGTCGTTGATGTGCGTGCAGCTGGTGCGGAATGCGTGCTTGCAGTGGTCGGTGATTCAGCGCGATCACCTACTCGGCGCCTCGCAGGATTTGCTAAATGCAACAGAGACCCTGGAGAGGTCGTCTCGCAAAGCGGTGTTCTCGTTCCGCAGTCGCGCTTGCAGGTCTTTCATGGCGGCATCCTCGGATACGAGCTCAGATGACAGCTTCTGGTCACGTTTGTATGTGTGATCGCTCATATCGGCGGCGAGCCCTTCGGACTTCTTCTGGGAATTCGCCTGCAACCTGTTAGCCTTGGCGGCCAGCGCGGTCGATTTGCACCATCTCCCAAATCGCGCGGCATGTACACCCCGCGCTTTCAGCGGGGGGGGCATCCAGACGAGATGGAAAAGTTCGTTCCAATAGTGCTTGGTGTTTATCGTGAGGAGCTTGAGGAAGTCCCCAAAGAGCTTGACGTCTTTCTCCTAGTGGAGGGCGTTTCGTCCTGATGCGATTGGTGTTCAGCCCTGTTGGGCTTGGAGTTCATTTTTACGAGCAGGAAGTGCGACCTGCGGGGCGGGAATCATCCCTTGGAGCTTGAAGCTAATCTTGCAGAGCGCTTTCATTTCGCTTAGGGTTGGGTCTCATCTCGTGGGCCTGGGTGATAGTCCCGTTGAGCTCGAGGCGCGTCCCGCAGGATGTGATGTTCATACCGTGGTTCTGCAGCTGCCCAGGGGCGGGCATTACACGCATTCGCCCGGGAGCCTCTTCGAAGACACAGATCATCGGCGCACCTTATATACCTGTATTGCTCTCCCCTCGCCCCTATCTGGGCAGCGCGGTGGTGGGGCGTCCTGCAGGCGAGGTCCGCCTGCGAGGCAGCCAAGGCCCGGGCCGTCGCCCGCCGCGCGTCGCGACGGGCGCAGCGCGCGGAGGGTAGCCCATGCCCGGGCGGACTCCCGCGGCGGATGGGGGCGCCCGGGAGCCCGTCGCAGCGCGGGGCGCCGCGACGGGCCCGGGCGGGGCTGCCCTGCCGCTCTCGGTCAGCGCGCTCTCGTGTGGTTTCGGCGTGGCAGCAGCCCGCCCCGTCGGCCGTCCGACCAGGGCGCTCTTCGAGGGGGCTCGCGCTGCCTGTTTCATTGGCATATATATATATATATATATATATATATATATATATATATATTCGCCGGCCCAACGGGCCAGGGCGTGCTAAGATCTCCGGTAACTGGTTAACAGTATTAACAGAATTTCTAGTTCGCGCGCGCGGGGCGGCCCCTGGGGGTCCCCCGGCGAAAAGTACCCCGACCAACGCCCGACCGCCGCCCGACCGCCGCCCGACCAAGTCTACTCAGAGATGGTTTTCCTTCTGGGTGCGGCCTCTCAGGCTCCCCAGAGCGCGCTCAGAGTGCCCCAAGAGGCCCCCAAGACTGCCCAAGAGGCCCCCGAGACGCCCAAAGAGCGCTCGAAGACGCCGAAGATGACCCCAAGACGGCCCAAAAGGCCCCCAAGACAGCCCAAGAGGCCTCCAAGACGCCCCAAGAGCCTTCCAAGAGGCCTCCGAAGAGAGCCCCAAGAGGCCAAAATCGTTGATTTTCATTTGTTTTTTCGATGTTTTTTGTGTTCTGGCTTTTTCGGCTTCCGGACGCTCCAAGACGGCCCAAGAGGCCCCCAAGACCGCTCCAAGACGGCCCACGAAGCTCCCAAGACGGCGCCGAAACGACCCAAGAGAGCCCTCAAGACGGCCCAAGTGCCGCCCAAGACGGACCAAGAGGCCCCAAGACGGGCCCAAGAGGGACTCAGGAGGGATACCGAGAACTCAAAAATGGAGCCCTCCGTCCCAGAAGGCGCCCAGGAGGTCCCAAAGAGGCCCCAAGAGGCCTCCAAGAGGCCCCAAGATGTCGCCAAGAGGCCCCAGGAGACTCCCAGGAGGCCCAAAAGAAGCCCCAGAAGGCTTCAAACATGTCTCCCAGGCGCCCCCGAACGGCCTCTCAACAGACCCCAAGAGGCCCCCCAAAGAAGCATCTTGACGACGACTCTATTTCGCCCCATCGAGAGACGACCCCCAGGGAACTGCTTCACCATCAAAACTCCCCACGCAACGCGTCCGAACGACACCCGCCCCCAAGAGCGCAACATGGGCAACGAACACACAGACAAAAACCAGCGATGCCATATCACGGGCCGGCGGAATGAGCGAAGCGATTCAATATTATATATATATATATATATATATATATATATATATATTGTTTCATTGGCTGATGTTGGGGCCCGAGATGCGACGAGCATGAAACACAGGCGGGGCCCGTGGGGCCAATCGCCCCAAAAGTTTGGAAACGCAGCCGTGGCAGGATGGTGTGCCGGACGGCATACGTGCACCGTGGCCGGGGCCCGCCGATGTTGGGATCTGGCGCCGCAGACCACCTGGTTTTGCCGACGGTGCGCGCGCTTGCGATGCCAGGATCGCAAGCCCTATCTTTTTTCGGAGGGTGCCAGCTTGACGAAGCTCTGCATCATTACGTTGAAGGGCACCCGTTGGCGCTGTTCCGTCCTGGATTCCCTTGCCGCGCCAAGCGCCGTTTCCTGTCCGCTCGGATCTCTAGCGTACCGATCGCTCGCGCTGTCGGAAACCTTCCACGCAGAGAGCCACGCTGGGTCGGGATGAGCGCGTCGCGGCATCCTGCGTACTGCGCGCATGTGGAACTTCCTCGCAGCTGAACGCTGAGAACACATGATCGGGCCGTGATGGCTTTTGCGTGCAAGCTTCGCGCGTTTGCGGGCGAGACCCAGAGTAAGATCCGTGAGCTTCGCCGTGGACGCGTGCGCGTACGCGGTCCATCGGCTCTGTGGCGGCAACGTACTGGCCGCCAGGCACGGTCATAGTCGGTGCACTGGACTGGCTGGCTGACTGACAGGTCGCACTCGTCAGGAGGCCGTATTGTTGTCGCCCGCCGAGTGCGCAAACCATAGCGCAACTGATAGCAGACCGTTTGTCCCTCGGCTGAGGGGTGCGCAACCTGTGGCGCAACAATAGCTGGCCGCTTTGTCCCCGTCCACCGAGTGCGTAACCTATGTCGCAACCAGCGTAGTGTTCTTCTCGGTCGCCGAGTTCGTAACCAATAGCAGACTGTTTTACTCTCGGTCACCGAGTGCGAAATCCATGGCGCAACCAATAACAATCATTTGTTTGCTCTCGACCGTTGAGTGCGCAACATATGGAACACCCCATGGATGGATTAAGGCGCAACTCACGGGTCGCACAACTTCTGGCGCAATCCATGGATCGCGCAATCCGTAAATGATACAACCTACGTATGGGGCAACTCATGGATCGCGCAACCAATGGCAAGCCACGTGGTTGGCACACACCCCTGGCAAATTATGCAGGACTGCTCCGGATTTGTGCTCGCTGTTTGGGCTGGCGGTGGGGCCCAAGCGGCGAACTGCCTTGTGATTGCCTCGGGCCCGTAATATCCAAAGGCCGCCAAACGAAGCGTCACAATGACCAGCCCAAGCCGGGATGGCCTTCATTATCGCGATTCATCCGCATCTGGGGAGACGACATGAGCGGATGCGGCTGAAATGATGCTGATGGTGATGATCAGGAGCGTCGACAAGTCAACGGATGCATCGCCGACGCGTGAGCGACAAACTATCCACACGAACTCGTGGTCGCGGGGCAAGATGCCCAAGGAGAAGATCCGACCGACCGCCTCCCGTGAGGCCTCCTCTATTTCCAAAGCCCCCTCTGTGACGAGTCATCTGTGCAAGGTGCTGCCTCGTTGTGGGTCGGCCTAGAGCTCCTTCTCCCCCTCCCCACCCCAGGCCTCGCGACACGCACGAATGCGAGCCGCGAGCTCAGCGGGGTAAGGCGGAGGTCAAGCGGAGCTTGGCGCGAAGTCCGTACCACCTTCTGGAGGACTCGGCTCGTATCTGCGATGTCAGGGGCGGGCACAGCAGGAGTCGACGCAGGCGTAAGAACGGGAGTCTGGGTATATGGGTTGGACACGGGCTATGAATGCGAGTGCGAATGGTGTGTGAGTATGATACGGGCCAAACTGCCAGCTCCGCGCGGCCAACTTTGCGACGGGACTGGCGACTGCAAACCACGCGCAACGCCAAAAGGAAACACCATCTTCAGCTGAACTCTGCGAGGCTGTTGGGCGAGAAAGACATCTCGCCCGCTCGCGCGCGGCCCCACTTCCGCTTGCGACAAACGGGCGAGCGGAAAATGCGCCCCACCGGGTACACTAATTGTTGGCGAACTCTTCGTGGCGCTTGGGCGAAATTGCGGTGCGCCCGAGCGGCAGCTCCTCTTTCAAGCGATAACTGCGCGTCGATGGTGCGAGATTGCCAAACTCGACCGCTCGCGCGCGACCCCGCTGCCGACGAGTTGACGAGGTGAAAATGTGCGCCACGCCCAGGCGGGTACGCAATTTTCAAACACGTGCGCGGCGCTGGGGCTAGAACCACACTTTCAGGAAAACTCAAGAACCGAACCGAACCGGCCGAACCTAACCGGGCCGAGCCGAATCGGTACGAACCGCACGTTTTGTCAACGAGAACCGAACCGAACGGGAACCGAAAGAGACCCAATTTCGAACCGAACCGAACTGAACCGGATTCGATTTCGAACCGAACAGGGCCGAACCTGACGAAACCGCGCCGAACCGGACGTCTCCGGGGCCTTGAATTTGGCGGAGTAGGAGGAGGAGGATGCGGAGGGGGAGGAGGAGGAGGAGGAGGATGCGGAGGGGGAGGAGGAGGAGGAGGAGGAGGAGGAGGAG